ATAAAAGCCCCAAAAATATACTTTTAAAAAAAAAAAAAAAGAGGCAAAGCAAAATAAAACATGTTTTAATGGAATGATTTTAACATAGCTGCCAATTTTACATAAAAATGTAATTTAAAATGAATGGCAAGCATAACAAAATGGTTAACATTGTAGTCACTTTATTTTAATAGAGAGCTGAACTGGACCAAAAATGTCAAGTTGAACTTGGACTATAGTCTGAGCTAACTTTATATTTATATTTACTAAACTGCAGTATATCCTTAAATAAAATATACATCTTGGGTAAGAAAACCAAAGAAAATGACCTCCCCTGATCTCAAAGTCAGACCAATCTTCTTTGACACAATTTAGAATATCTGGTGGGATTAATAATAAACTGGCACATGTCATGTTTGGTTCAAGATGCAAAATATATCTGTACCTCAATGCCATATTGCTCTATAAAATTAGGCTCCAGCTTATCCATTTAAAAATGTTTTATCTGTACTCTGAAAGTATAGTAGTACAAGGGAATGTTCTGTGCTTTGACATTATACAGATCAAACAAGAGTATGACTGGCAGATTTAATTCATAAGGAAGTACCTGAAGTTGTAATCAACAAATGTTTCATCACTTTTCCTTGCTAACTTATTAAAATGATTTGAAATTAAATATTTGAGTAAATTTTCTTCAAATACATTCACAGCACATTACTACAATGTGTCCAATTTATTTCTTTAATTTCTGTAAAAATGTACAAATGAACAATTAAACTCAACTACATATTATTACATATACATATATGACTCTATTTATGGGACTCATTTGAGATGCATCACTTAAGCAATCTGTCTTTTGCCCAGCTCCTGTGTGTACATCCTGTTCTGCCCTTGTGTGGGGGAAACGGCTTTGGAAGCATGTTCACGTCCGGTTTGACCTCTACAGCGAGCGGACGCAGACACACCCTGTAGACGCTGTCTGGTTGAATGTTTACAGGCACTGGGAGGTGACCGCTGCCTACCTGTCATCTTTCTGCTCCAGTCCCAGTGCAGGCGCCCTTTTAAACACCTTTTGTGATCTCCTATTTTTAACACACACACACACAGCCAGACCTGATTGTATACAGTGGCGAGGGGCTGAACATGTAACTAAAGACCATGGGTGGAAAAGGCATTTAATTATTGATTAATGGCAGACCTGCAGGTTTGGTAGCTGGACATGGAAATGGGAGGTGAAAAGGCTCGGACAGCAGGAAATTCAAACCTGATACTTTTCCCATGTTTTTTTTTTTTTAAATGTCTTTTGAGAAGCTTAACAGGCAACCTTCAGCAGCTAGAATAATGTATGATTGTGGGGCTGTTTTTGTCCATGAGATATCAGTAGAAATTTAGCCCTCTGTATTGGCATCAGTTTGTTTTCAGTCACCTCTGAGGGCACAGCTGACAAATCCTGTAATTGATTGCGCCTTTGCTTGTGGCCGTCGGCTTTCCGACACGTTTCATTCAGCACATAAACCTGTCAGAAATGAAATGAGCTAAAGCCGCCTGCTACAGTCAATGTTGCTGTGAGGTTCCAATGTCATGCAGGTGTTCTGCAGTTTCTCGACATTTTTTTTATTTTGCTGTCCTCTAATCATTTACTGTGTTTAAGTGCTACAGTGTTGCACGTGACATATCAAAACTTGTACAAATCAAGGTCGCATTAATTAACGTCCCACTACCAGAAATAGCATTGTAGTTTTCTTTTTGTTGTGACTCTTTGTTCTGTTGCAAAGAGAACGTGTTAGGTGACATATGGAGATACAAAATGTTCCACATTTCCATGTATGTGATGTAATTGAGTGAAATCCAGCAGGCGTGCAGTTCATTAAGTGAGCTTGGACTACATAGAGTGGAGTATTTGATTTGCCTGTGCAGTGTTCCAAACGCTGCACTGATTCAGTCATGTGTGCACACAATCGAATATCATAAAACAGGCAATGGCGAGGTTGGGACAGATGCAGTGAGAAGTCTCAGGTGAGCACTGTTCCACTTCACGACTCCATATGTGACAGGGGCCCAAATCTCGCCTTTTATTTTCTGTTGTAAACAGTATTGTTCCGCTGGCTCAGACAATAGCATTTTGTTCTCACCTGATTTGCGTGTTTGAATTTTTTAAGAAGAGTACTACGGCTGATCAGTACCACAGCAAAACAGACCTATCTATTAGATTTATTGTCTTTAGGGATGGGAAGGATGTTCAGACATTTATGGTGGCTAGAGGATAAATCCTGTTGACTTTGGTGATCCCTTAACTTTTGATCAAGCACCTCTCATGCATAAAATTATAGTCAGTCATGTCCCCCTCAAGATGAAATGTAATAACTAAGGTGATCCCCTGACTTTTAATCTATCTCCATCATGAGGTATATCTGTCCAATAGTTTGGTTTAGTACCTGCAAAACTAATGACCTTCAGCCTCATCTGTATGCTGTTTATTTCTAATCAGCAAATATTAGCATGCTAACACGCTTAACAAATGGTGAAAGTGATAAACATTATACTTTCTAAAACTGTCATTATGAGCACCTGTTGGCTTTGTCACTGTGGGGGAAAAAAACAAAACAGCAGTAGCTGATTAAATGGAAGAATCTTTTTCAACAAAGCCTTTTGGTGCTGGGCCTTTTATCAGGGTGATTTACAGAGTCTTTATCAGTTATCCAGTGAGTGCTAGACACAGGTGGCGTGCCAATAAAAGATACTGCACCTCCCCAACACAAAAACTTAATGTCAGCCGTAGCAGGAAACATGCTCGTCTGGTCACACATGTTCTCATATTACACATAAATCGGTACACTAAAATGTGTTCCTGGAAATATTTTATTCGAGAAACACAATAACAGAATCTTAATTATTTGATCAGCACTAACTCATCATGTTTTAACAGTTTGATCTAAGTTTTGTGTGGTGCTCTGGACGGACTCACTGAGAATGACTTATCAATCACAAAGTAGCCACGCCATAAAGCATACCCTGCTATTGTCTTTTTTACTCAAAATGGGACCATAATTAACAAAATGAACATCATGCTGTATGGAGGAAGACTGGAAATTAGCGACTGAGACTATTAACTCATTAGGAAACTGTTTTTTGAGGCAATAAATAAAGTTGGCCAATTTATTACTTCTAACATATATATTAGACTCAATACTATCACTTATTTTTTGCAGCCCATGGAGCTGCCCCCTGCTGGCCATTTGAAGGAATTCAGGTTTAAGGCACTTTCGCATTGGCTTCACTTCACTGACCCAGAAGTTCTGTCCACTAATTACTGTCAAACCCTTTTATAACTGTAAAAATGACAATAAAGACTCCTCCGTTGTGAGTATGTTGGTGAGCTGACGTTAGCATTTAGCTCAAATCACCACTATGCTTAAGTAGAGCCTCACATAGCTGTTAACATGAATGTAGACTTCTGCCCGCGGTATAAACTGTAGCTTAGAGCTGGCCGTAGTTTGTGTAAGCAATATGTTAGGGTTATGTCTCAGGCTTATTACAAGGAGAGACGAAGCGTGAGCCTGCAGCTCGGGCCCAACAGGAACAGGTCGGACAGAGGCCACTCGCCACAGATGCCGGGTCCCGTCAGGAAGACGGCCAGCTTCTGTCTCCAGCCAGGTGCACTGTGGAGCTTGTGCTCCCAGAGATCTGAGCCGTATGGCGGTACCATGATCACACTGTGTTCCAGCTGGAGCTCTGGATGATGGATGATGAGTCCTCAGCATGGGAGGTTTTTCTGCCTGCTTGCTTTAATTCTGTATGACTTCAGGCTCTTAATATAGCCCAAGCTTTTACACCAGTTTTTGAAGAGATGTCATGGTTGACTGTTCTCATTCCCTTTTTTTCTTCTTCTTCCACGAATAGGTATGAAGTCATTGGTTGCTGAGTGGTGTGACATACTGCAGGCTGACAATGATTTTCAAAAAGTGTCTAGAACCATTTCAGTCCTTTGAAAATTCAAAGCCCTTGATGTTGTCTGAGTTTCAGCTCTTTTTTGGAAGATGATCACAGGCTGTTATTTAATTTGCATTTGACCTCTTCTGGCAGTGGTGACCTGTGTTTTTTTTTTTTTTTTTTTAGGTATACAAGACATTTTTTGCTCTATTAGATAATCCATTGAAAAGAGAATGAACAAGAAGAGAAGGAATAACATTCCCATAGATACCACAACCATGCAGCGGCCTTCTCATCCAACAGGACATCCCAGCCTCCTCTGAGGCCGACACCCATCATGAAGTTGCACAGTCCTCTCGGGGTGGGGCTGGGACATGTTAGCTCGCTGTCACGCTGCTGATGTGTGTTGATTGTGACATTTCCTCTCTCCTCAGCAATACACGAGTTCCCCAATGACTTTTTCTCCAACCAAGAACGAAAGAGTGGGGCCGTCCTGCTGCACATTGTGGCGGTAAGAGGCCCTTTTTTTTTATTTTTATTTATTGGCCCACCTGCATCTCCCATCACATTGGTCCCCAATTAACGCTCTCATTGGAGCTCAGCTGGTTGCAGGTGGATTTTTCACATAGCAGCCTAACTACCTTCCAGGCTTTAAAAGATAAAAAAAAAATCACAAATATCTCCTAATTTATTGTAGCCAAGGTCCAAGCACATTTATTTGGGCTTGTAATTTAGTAAACAAAGACCTACTATCAAATCAGCACAAGCTGCAGCACTAGATTAAAATTAGCTGATATAATATAGATAACATTATTTATGTAACCGTATATAGATCTGCCTTGCGGTCTTAAATGTAATGAATGGACATTGTACTACAAGAGAGAATTTTATTTTCAGTTTGAGAGTGCTGTAAAGCAATGATATCTCTCAGAGGAGAGCTTCAATTCAGGAGTGTGGGTGTGGGTGGGTGTTGGTGTGTTTAGTGTTTTAAGTCGGAGTTTAAATTTAAGCATGATTACTTAGAACAATGCTGAGAGGCTTGATAAATACAGGGCAGGAAATGAGGACAGGCAAATGTTCTTTTTGTCTTTATTGTATGAGCTGCTTCTCCACAGGACAAACCAGTATTGTCTCCATTCAGTCATACTGCGCTCCACTGACTGGACATAAAGACACAAGCTACCTGTGGAGTTATTCAGTATTGCTCTTCATGCTGGATTTAACTGGCTTTAAAAAGTTTCTCTTTGTCAAATGCAAACACAGGGATGTAGCCAGGATTTTAGAAATATTTTTAATAATGTATTATTTTTGGATTTCGAGTCTTTAGAAAAAAATTCACTCTTTTTGTAACTGTGCCTCCACTGCAGCACAGCAAGGGAATACAGGGAATTTTACAGTACCTTTTGGGCATACCCAGACTGCTGAAGCCTCATACTGTATTAACTTCATATAAATCTTTAATATATGTTTTTGCACATAACAAGGACTTTTTTTTACATTGGAAGCTCATTAGGACAGTGTGAACAGGAGGAATGATTACAACAGCCAAAAAGTGTTTCACTTAGGGCAAAAATATCACCACACTTCAGAGTATTTATGTAATGATATTCTTGATATGACAAAACACTTTTATCGTCTTCTCGTACTGACCCCGGTGCTTCTGCTTGAGGTGGTAAAATAAGTTTGTTTGTATTGCCCCCTTTTGTTGTTACGATCTTGCACTTCTTACACATTGCAGAGATTTGTTGTACATCTGATCTTTTGTAACCTTCCTCCACACTAAAGTTGCTCCCCTTTTTGGAACCAACTCCTCCACCATGGCGCCGGTAGCAATGTTGTTTTCGCTTTCAGCCATGCTTGTTGTTAATGTTTGACGTCATTACACGAACGTTACATGGCACACCTTTAGTTTCAATGTACATATATGGCCACCTGATTGTTGTTTTAAGACAGACATGAAAAATTGCGAACATATCCATTTTAGTAAAAAATAAAAAATACAAGAAGATTGCTGAAACAAAAAAAAACTCCAAAGGACATAACCTCATTGTCATCAATGGCAGCTACAGCCCTGAACACGCTGTCTTTTGACCTCTTTATAGGCTTGTCAAGTTTACTGACATGATGAATGAGAGACAGTTTTAGCAGAGGTGTAAAAAGTGTAGTACTTTGTTTAAGCCCTTCTCATCACAGAGTTTACATTAGCACAGAGATCCCAGCCTAAGATACTTGCTACATGGAGAGTAGCAGCCCATATTGTTTCTAAATCTTCATGAAAGCTGAAATACAGCAACATGAACTGCAGCACCAACATTTGCAGTGGTTGAGTATTCAGATCCTTTATGTAACCGACACCACACTGCAAAGCATTTCACTGCTGTAGTTGGTTGAGGTGACTACTAAACTATTTTGTGTAAGACTACAACTATTGATTATCATTTATTGTTTTCTCAATTAACTGATTGATTCATTGGATTGTAGAAAAACTCAATAGTCAAAGGAAAAACGGCAAATCCTCACATTTGGGTGTATATACTGTTACACAGTTTAATTTCTAACAAAACATCATATTTTATAAGCACTTAACATAACATAACTTGTGACCAAAGCTGCCAAGTACAAATTTGAGGTACATCACTTGAGTATGTTTTCATGCACAGATGAAAAGGAATTAGTTGCATTCCACCACTGAACAAGTTTGATTTCACTTCTATGGTTAAAGAAAATTCTTCTTGGTGACACAAAGTGAGCTGCAATCCAGTATACTGCATTTCCACTTCATTAAGTGTCCTCAGCTTTATGTTCCACACTGAAATATGCCTTGATATTGTCCTGGCTTCACTGCTGAGGGGAGGATAAAATGTATGTTCGGGTGGGGGTAGAGGGGGTCTGATCATACTGCAGTCCTGCACTGCCCCCTGTGGATAGCATAGAGCAGAGCACAGCTGCTGGAGCTGCCGGGGCCATTATGATGTCACACCTGATCTATAATTTATAGATCTCTCCTCAGCTACTGACATAAGCGGCCCCCCTTCTGTCTCTCTCTCACAGCGGCGGGAGTATGCAGACCCTGTCGATTTTTCAAACTGTAAGGGGAAACGGCTTGTCAGTGAATTGACATTTAAAATGAATGCAGGTCCTATTTTAATTGGGCTTTAGGATTCCCCTTCACCCGTCCTTAAGCAGGAGAATATCTTTCTCTGCCAAAGCTCTATTAGCTCAGCTAATTTCTGAATTTCTGCTGATTGAGGATGTACCTATACAGGCAGACACACAGTTGTATTCTCACTATACCTTGCCCTTGACACACTCACACTCTAACTCTGCTGGTTCTGTCTCTAGGCACTCTACATGTTTCTGGCCCTCGCCATAACATGTGACGAATATTTTGTGACAGCGCTGGAGAAGATCTGTGAGGTACTTGGGAGTCTTTCAGTGTTTCGATTATACAAGTTTGTCTGTGTAAACCGTGCAAATCACTAATCTTTACTGTATTTCTGCAGAAATTAGATCTGAGTGAAGATGTTGCAGGAGCCACCTTCATGGCAGCTGGCAGTTCTGCACCAGAGCTTTTTGCATCTGTCATTGGTACACACACACACATACACACACATACATATATACAGTATGTGCATACACTCAGACGTTCCCAGATGGTTGGTGTCACCGCTGATTCTGATTGGCTGCCTCGCTGTGTGCAGGTGTCTTCATCACCCACGGTGATGTGGGGGTGGGGACCATCGTCGGCTCAGCGGTCTTCAACATCCTTTGCATCATTGGTGTCTGTGGGATCTTCGCTGGACAGGTGTGTGTGTGTGTGTATGTGTATGTGTGTTTTGTGTGTGAGTTAGAGGGAGTGAAGTGACTTCCTGCTGCAGCGGTATCATTCTGTTTATTTATAGACTGCAGAGAAGCACATGTGTGGCAGAAGTTTTTTGCTGAGGGGAAACAAAGCCATCTGCCTCAATTTGTTCTCTAAGAACTAGTTTTAATGGAAATGGATAATTTAACTCTGGAGGTGTAGACAGATCATAAATCTTTCTTCTTTTGAGCTTTTTGGCAAGTAAAGTTTACATGGGTGCTTTTGATACTACACTACACAGAACTCTATTAGATGTAGTTTAAACATTTTTATTTCCCTGTGAAACCTCAGGTGGTGATATTGACCCGGTGGGCAGTTTTCAGGGATTCCTTCTACTACATCCTCTCTGTATTGGCTTTGATTGCAGTAAGTTCACCGCATGCATTTATTAATGAACACCAGCCCTGACCTTTTGAATGTTGTTTATTATAATCTATGAGAAATGTTTCTCTTCATTTTTCAGTTTATCTACGACGAGAAGATAGTTTGGTAAGTTACCTTATCCAGTTAAGCTGTAAATGTGTCCTTATTTCAAAGTGAGACTTGTGTAAGAAGTGAGATGTCCTGTTATGGATAAAAAATATAAATTCATAAGCAATAAAACAAACCCTTGATCAATTCTAAACACTCAAGGATTTTGCTGGTACAGCCTTACTTGGTCTGGTATGACCATTAGCTTATAGTGGCTACTCGTTGGATTTATATTGCTGTTACTGACAGTACTGATTCAGTTTGCTGACTTTACAACAGTTTACCATTATCCTGTAATTGTTGTTGTACTGGTCATTGTTCGGCAAATATTATATATATATATATATATATATATATATAAAATATATAAATATCACATG